ACTCACAGAGATCCACCTACCTCTGCCTCCCGAGTGCTGGGATTAAAGGTGTGTGCCACCACACCCAGCCACTGAGTCAGTTTTTAAGTTACTTATTTATTTTTTTTTGGGGGGGGGTCTTTTTGAGACAGGGTCTCCCTGTAGCCCCTGCTGTCCTGGAACTCACTATGTAGACCAGGCTGGCCTTAAACTCACAGAGACCCGCCTGCCTCTGCCTCCCGAGTGCTGGGATTAAAGGCGTGGGCCACCGGCACCCGGCTCTTTTATTTATTATTTTTATTTTACATGTATGAGTGCATTGCCTGCATGTATATGAGTGCACCGGTGTCATACAATGCCACTGAGGTCAGAAGAGGGCGTCGGATTCCCCTGGAACTGGAGTTAAGAATGGTTCATAGCCGTCATGTGGGTGCTGGGAACTGAACCTGGGTCCTCTGCAAGAGCAGTCAGCTCTTAACCACTGCATTATCTCTCCAGCCCCTGAGTCAGTTTTTAAACATAGTAATGGGAGCTGGGAATGTAGCTCAGTTGGTGAAGTGCTTGTCTAGCATGCATGAAGCCCTGAGTTTGATCCCTAGTACCATACAAAACCTGGCATGGTGAAGGACACCTGTAAACCCAGCACTCAAGAGGTGGAAGCCAGGAGGGTCAAGGAGTTCAAGGTCATCTTCAGCTATACATCGAGTTCTAGGCCAGCCTAGACTACATGAGACCTTGTGTTAAAAAAAGAGACGGGGTTGGGGCTAGAGAGATGGCTCAGTGGTTAAGAGCACTGACTCTCTTGCAGAGGACCCAGGTTCGATTCCCAGCACCCACATGGTGGCTATGAACAATCCTTAACTCCAGTGCCAGGGGAATCTGACGCCCTCTTCTGACCTCCACGGCATTGCATGACACAGGTGCACTCACATACATGCAGGCAATACACTCATACAAATAAAATAAAAATAAATTATTAAAAGAAAAAAAAAAGAGATGGGGCAGCTCTGAAAGTAAAGGCATTTTTCACACAAACCTACTGACATGAGTTTGATTCCCAGAACCCATGTAAAGGTAAAAGGGAAAAAAAAAAATCAACTCCACAAATTTGTCTTCTGCTCTCCACATACCCACACCACCCACAATAATGCATATGATTTTTTTATATTCAGCAGCAAAAGGCTAGAGAGATGGTTCCGTGGTTAAGGGCAATTGCTGCTCTTCCAAAGAACTGGAGTTCAGTTCCCAGAACCCTTATTGGATGGCTCACAATGACCTATAACTCCAGTTTTAGGGCATCTAATGCCATCTCTGGCCTCTGCAGGCACCTGCACTCACATGGCGAATATACATAAATGCAGGGCCCACATAGCATACACATAAATTTTTAAAAATTAACAAAAAAGCAGCAAAATAAGCCCAAAACAAGTCATAAACCCTATGTAAGTAGGGCATGGTAGTACACACCTTTAATCTCAGCACTGGGAGACAGAGGCGGGTAGATCTCTGTGAGTTTGAGGCCAGTTTGGTCTACATAGTAAGTTCCAGGTCAGCCAGGGTTATAGGGAGACCCTGTCTCAAAAAAAAAAAAAAAAAAAAAAATCACAAAGTCAAATGTGGTGGCGCATACCTTTAGTCCCAGCAGGCAGATCTTTCTAAGTTCAAAGCCAGCCTGGTCTACATCACAAGTTCCAGGCCAGCTGGGACTACAGGGAGACCCTATCTCAAAAAGACAAAAAATAAAAAGTAAAAACAAAGAGACCTGGAAACCTATATAACTGGTAATAAAATATACAAGAAGAAAGAGGAAAGCCATTATTTGAAAAAATTTAAAATGTCTATTCATAAGCAGATCATGGTTATTTTTTATGAAATGTTCTCTAATTTAGTGAGTAAAAAAAGCATAATGATAACTCACGTAGGAAGGAACTAGAATGATCAAAGTAGGTTTCAGCACTGTCACATTCCACCAGTTTGCTGAGATGTAAGTTTTTACATTGTGAATCTTCTACCTACAAACCAAAACATAAAAAATTCCACTTTCAATGTTCCAGCTGTGTGCAACTTGCATAGTGAGCTCTCTAAATTATTATTTTTTTTAGTATTTATTTTACTTTATTTTATATGTATGAGTGTACTGCATGCATGCAAGAGTACCTGTGTCATGCAATGCCCACGGAGGTCAGAAGAGAGCATCAGATCCCCTAGAACTGGAGTGGACAGTTGTTAAGCTGCCATGTGGGTCCTGGGAATCGAACCTGGGTCCTCTGCAAGAGCAATCAGTGCTCTTAACCACTGAGTCATCTCTCTAGCCCCTTGAATTATTTTTTTTTAATACTTAGAATGAATCCATTAAAGCCTTCCAAGAATTATTAAATTTCTTTAATCCCAGCACTTGGGTGGCAGGGGCAGGCGAATCTCTGTAAATCAAGACCAGCCCGGTGTACAGGGAGACCTGGGCCCAAAAAAACACACACACACACACACACACACACACACACACACACACACAAAGAATTATTAAATTTCAGGACTGGAGGGGCTGGAGAGCTGGCTCAGCGGTTAAGAGCACTGACTGCTCTTGCAGAGGACCCAGGTTTGAATCCCAGCACCCACACGGTGGCCAAGAACCATCCTTAACTCCAGGTCCAGGGGAATCTGAAGCCCCCTTCTGACCTCTGCAGCATTGCATGACATGGGTGCACTTATATCCATGCAGGCAATACATTCATACTCATAAAAAAATAATAAAGTATTTAAAAAAAAAATTTCAGGACTGGAGAGATGGCCCAACACTTAAGAGCACTGGCTGACCTTGATCTTGCAGAGGACCCAGGTTCAGTTCCCAGCACCCACATGGTGGTTAACAACTGCCTGTAACTCCAGTTCCAGAGGATCTGACACCCTCTTTCAATCTCCTCAGGCACTGCAAACAGGAGGCACACTTACATCTGTGCATGCAGACCACCCAGACACAGAAAATAAAATTTTTAAATTTTAAAACATTACTATATTTCACTACCCAACTGTTCTAATCTTCAAAGGCATAAATGCCTTCAGCTTTCCTCTCACCAGGTCAGCAGGTACCAACTGTTCACCAGGTACATGAGCTTTCCAAGGGCAATAGGAAAATTATGTCCTAGCTGGGCTCCAAACACTCAACCTGCCCACCACTCCAACTTCCTCTTACCTCTAGCAAAAGGTCATTCATGTTTTGGTGGCCTCTCAGGAGGTGCAGTGCTGAATCCTTTAATTTTTGTTCCCTTTCAGGATTATGTTTTTGCTTCTTGACTCTGCCTGCTAAGTGGGAAAAATGAATTTCAAAAAATTACAAGATGGAGGTGAAGAGATGTGGTTAAGAGCACTGGCTGCTCTTTCAGAGGGCCAGGATTCAGTTCCCAGCATCCACATGGTGGCTAACAACTGTCCTTAACTCCGGTTCCAGGAGCTCTAATGCCCTCCTCTGGCTTCCAAGGGCATTGCATACACATGGTGCACATACATACACACAGGCAAAACACTCTTACACACAAAATAGAAATAATCCCTTGGAACTTGAATTATAGACAGTTGTTGGCCGCTGTGTGGATGCGCTGGGACTCGAACGTGGGTTTTCTGCAAGAGCAGTCTGTGCTCTTAACCCCTGAGCAATCTCTCCAGTCCTAGAAATAAATTTTAAAAATTTAAGGCTGGGCGTGGTGGCGCACACCTTTAATCCGACACTCGTGAGGCAGAGGCAGGCGGATCTTTGTGAGTTCAAGGCCAGCCTGGTCTACAAAGTGAGTTCCAGGACAGCTGGGGCTACAGGAAGACCCTGTCTCAAAAAGACCAAAAAAAAAAAAAAAAAAATTACAAGGTGAAATACTTCGCTGAACTGCCGGAGACCGACCCCGACAGTCACCTGCTCTAAGAGCGGCTGGGCTCAAGGAGGGGAGTCTGCAATAACAGCCTGAGGCCCGACGCTGATCCATGAGGACGCGCAGACCCGCCCCGGTGACCCAGAGCCTGCGAGGCTCTGGGCTGGACACGACGGGGCGGACAGCGGGAAGGAGCCCGGGAGGGAAAGGAGTCGGGGCGGGGCCACCGGGGCGGCGGGGCAAGGCCGTCCACTTACCCAGCAGCTCGGCCCATGTCCTCCGGCGGCCGGGCCCTTTACAGAACGCTGCACCCTCGGCCTGCGAGCCCGACATGGTGACTGAAGCTCCCGCACACTCCAGCCCCACAGCCCGCGCTGCCTTCCTATAGGCGGCGGCCAGGCGCGCGCGCTCATTGGCTAGCGGTGCCATGACCTTTGCCCTGCCTGACCTTCGTTCTGCCGCCATCTTGGGGTGGCGCAGGTGGCAGCCATAGTGGTAGTGGCGCTGGACGCTGAGTCTCGCGACTGCCTTGGCGCCGGAGTGAACCTGCGCATGACAGCTAGACGGAAAGTGGCGCAGAATTTGAAGCTGGCGGGGCTTGGTGAGGATTGACTGAGGCTAACATCCGGGTTCCAAACGGGACTGTACTGATGGGAAAAACCCTGAGCTGATCCTAGGAAGACCCCATTACAAATCGGATGGGGGAGAGGCTGAAAACCTCTACCCTGCTTTGCACGGTGAAGTATTGTATCAGCCCCCAATACTGTGCTGTGTTGATGTGTCTCTGATTGTAGGAAAACTGACCAAATGAGTTTTCGTGCCGAATTAAAGAATAGAGGTGGAAAACCAGCCAAGGAATGCTATCGTGCCTCAGTTTCTCCCTTTGTAAGACCCACTTGGCATGCTCACGGGGTCCTTGGAAAGGACCAAGGGTTCCGTTGTTGTGTGTGATGATGCGTGGAAGTTCCGACCAAGGACTTGCACCGGAGGAGGGAGCGGGACAGAAGGGGGAGCGGCCCTCCCCGGATGCGCCTTCTCGGTGGGAACCAGCTAGTCTAGAGCACCTTGCGTCTCCACGGGTGTTTCGGATAAAAACCACACCAGTGCATCTTCCTAGGGCTGATCACCAAGAATGGAGGTGGGCGGACTCAACCACTCCGAAGCCTCACTGCTAAGTATTTTAGAGGACCGCTGACATAGGGAGATCCGCGAACAGGAAGTGAGAAGTTCTTTCAGTAGGGAGCTGCTATTCGTCCGAACTAGAGTTAATGAGACAGTGAACATAATAAGTTCTTAGCAATGCATTAACTACGTTGTAACTGTAAGTGACAACAATAAAAAACGAGTATAATTAATGGAAACGACATTAACAATAACAGAGACAGCAATGATATCCCGCATAATTAGGCACGCAAGTAGTGTGTGTTTATGATGGGGAAACGGAGGCTCGGGGAGCCAACTGGGGTGCTCAGGTTCACCTGACTAGTTACACTCTGAACTTGAATGTAGCAAAAGTATTCATCGGTGGCAGCAGAAAGAGTCCGCATTACCTGCACCGCAGTAACATAACAATGCTGAATTTCCAGCACTACCCCAGGCATACACATAGAAGATCTAACCGGAAGGCAGGACACTGGGACAGATTTGAAATCCCTGAGATTGCCTAGCAGTCACTAAAGTTCACCCAGCGTGAGGTAGGCCAACGTAGGGTGGAGCCACAGTCAGAGCCAGCGTGGAAAGGACAAAGAGCAAACACTCCAGTTTTCCTAGATTCGGCGTTATCCGCCTCCTTGGCCAATAGGTGGTACTGTTGTGCTAGCAGCCAAAGGGCCACTTAGCATGTACAGAAAATAAAACTAGCAAGATCACGATAAGACAACCAACGCAGAAGACATTTCAACAAAAAACCCGTCTCTACAGCCAGGCCCCCTGTGCAGTACAGGGTCGGATAGGATGGGGTAGGAGTTCCAACCTGACTCTATCAGAAGTGCCTCACTTCCTTCTATAAACAAGCAACCCTCCCCACCACCAGAAGACCTCCCAACACAAATCCAATCACTGAAATCCACCCTGTGATGGTTCCCTGATTTATCTTCATCTTCCAATCTTGTGTTCCAACATTTCAAAAAGGATCTTTTCCCACTATTATGAAAGAGATGATCTGTTTGACAAAACTACAGGTACAGAATAGTAACTTCACCCAAAATCACACCGATAACCACTGATATTTACAGTGTGCTTCCAAGCTTTCTTCTTTGCAAATATTTTTCTTTTAACTGCTGCTTTATAATCTGCATTTTTGGCAGGCACAGTGACATACATCAGTGAATCTTAGCTGCTGCGGAAGCTGAGGGACGAGGATCATTTCAGCCTAGGAGTTTGGAGCAGCCTAGGCAACACAGCAAGGCTTCATCTCAAAAATAGAGACTAGGGTGGTGGTGCATACCTTTGATCCCTGCACTCAGGAATAGGCAGGCTGATCTCAATGAATTCAAGGCCAACCTGGTCTACAGAGTGAGTCACAGGCCAGCTTGGGGCCACAAGGAGAACTTGTCTCAAAAAAACCAAAAAAGAAAAAAAAATAGGGAAATAAATAAATAAATAAATAATAGGGCCAAGTCCAATGTAGTGGTACATTCCTTAATCCCAGCACTCAGGAGGAGAGGTAGATAGATATCATGAGATTGGGGCCAGCCTGGTCTACATGGTGAGCGTCAGGCCAGCTAAGACTACATGGTGACCTGTCCCAAAAATAAATAAGTAAATAGGGCCAGAGATGGAGAACGACTGAGGTAGAGAGTGACTGGGGAAGACACCCACTGTTGACCTCTGATATCCACACCCATGTGCAAACAAAGGTTCATACACATGAGCAGGTATACACACAAATAATCTGTATATTATGTTTTACCCATGGGCATAAATACCTTCTATTGTATATATGTAGTATCTCTGACATTCATTTAAGCCATGTGGCATTCTATGGTGACTCCCCCAAGCTGTTTAACCTACCCTGTTGCTGAGTACGTCATTCCCCTTTTCTTTGCTCTTAGATTTTTTTGTTTGTTTGCTTTGTTTTAAACATTCATTTCTAGGTGTATGTGTCTGTGTAAGTGCCTGCAGAAGCCAGAAGGTGACAGATCCTTTGGAGCTGAAGTTATAGGCAGTTGTGAGCTACCCAACATGAGTTCTGGGAACACAGGTCCCTTGGAAGAGCTGCAAGTACTCTTAACTACTGAGCCATCTCTCCAGCTGCATGTTTTGTTTTTTAATTTTATTTTTATTAAAAAAAATTTTTGAGACAGAGTTTTCCTGTAGACCCAGCTGGCCTGGATCTCACTATGTAGACCATTCTAGTCTCAAACTCAGAGATCACCTGCCCCTGCCTCCAGTGCTGGGACTAAAGGTGTGCACCACCATACCCAGGTTGGTTTTTTGTTGTTGTTTTTTTGGTGGGTTTTTTTTTTTTTTTTTGGTCTTTTTTAAGACAGGGTTTCCCTGTAGCCCCAGCAGTCCTGTAACTCACTATGTAGACCAGGCTGGCCTTGAATTCACAGAGATCCGCCTGCCTCTGCCTCCCAAGTGCTGGGACTACAGGTTTGCGCCACCACGCCCAGCCCCAGCTTTTTTTTTTAATAATTTATTGAGAATTTCAAACAGGCATATAAGCATATAAGGTGTTTTGATCAAATCCATGCCCACTCCCTCCCCTCCAACTCCTCCCATATCTCCCATCACTTTTTTCTGACAACTTCGTGTACTTTTTCTTCTTTTTGCTACTGTAACATTCCCCCCCTCCCCCCAGAAAACTGCTAAAAATTAGCACGTTCTTTTAAGGATTAGATAAAACCTTCCAAATACTTTTGACATTTTTGGCCTTTGGAACGGAGTATGTTGCTAAGAGGTCCAAGGACATTTTGACTTTTAGCCAAGAAACTGGCTTACATCTGAGCAGCACTTTCTGATTCAGAACAAAATCATCAGTGAGAAATAATTGTCTAAATAACTTTTTATATGGACTTAAGCCTAATGTCTGAGAAGTGTAATCCCCTTGAACTTTGCTCTTTGGTTATACTTTGCTTTTGGGTGTTTAAGACCATACAGTTGGCCCAAATAAATCAATTTATATTTACACTTAAAGTCATTTGAGGATCTGTTCCTTGGGGGTCACATGGGCTTAGGAGGAACTCCTGACCCCTTTCTTTTACCAGTTCCATCTATATAAAGATAAGTGAAAGGTCCTACTCAACCACGGCTAGCTTCACTTGGGAGCATGGAGGAAATGTTTCCTTTGAGTTGACCCTCCTCTTTGTAGACTGGACACTGGTTCATGTCCATCGGGTGGGGTCTCCAAGTCCTTGAACAAGAGGACAGGTGACTCACCACAGTTACAGGATATTTTGAGAGATGTTCCATAGTCCCCTGGAACTTAGTTGACCTTGGAGGACAAGGAGCAAAAACTGTCCTTTAACTCCCTCTGACTTGATTAGTATAGGCCTCAAAGTATGGCTGTTAAACATCCAATAAGGTTAGTTCCACCAGTCTGGTACTTTTAATTATCATGTGCTATGTAGATAAGGCTTGGGCAAAAAACCAAATATTCTCAGATAAACCTTGACTAGATATATATTTTGTTCCTTAAACTAGTTGACTATGACCTTAGAAATTTTAAGATTATGTGTATATTATTTTTGTCTCATCCTTTATATATCATAACAAACCTACACAGACCTTCATCACTTGCTTAGGCTTTCTCATTTATTCTATTTTGGAGCTTGTTTTGTTTTTTAAGGAGACAAGGTTTCTTGTAGCCCAGGCTGGCCTCAAACTCACTATGTAGCTAAAGATGACCTTGATCTCCTGATCCTCCTGCTTCTACCTCTCAATTGCTGGGATTATAGACATAACACACAAGGTTCTTGGAAATAGTCATTGTAGATATAATTCTTAATTCAAGGAATGTTTGAAGTCACCAAACAGAAACAAGGAACAGGATTATCTCCTGTTGTCTCTGGAGGGCGCTCAAGCCTGTATATACTTTGGCCTTAGAACTGTAAGAATGAATCTTTGTTGCTTGAGCCCCTAGACTGTGGTCATTTGTTTCAGCAGCTAGAGGAAACTCATACACCCACCACTGTTTCTGTACCATCATCATAAATGTCAGCACAGTGAAAAATTACATCATAGTATCAGTATGAAAATTGCTTTGATATAGTGGACTTCCTGAAAGGTGACCAGGAACCTCTAAAGGTGTTACATGTGGTTGGCTGCTGCCTCACTACACTAGCATTCTAGTGTAAGGACCAGAGAGTGAATATTTTAACTCTGTGGGCCATGTAGTCTTCATCATATCTACCCAACTTGTAGTAGCATAAAAGCTGCCTCAGATATGTCACCAATGAATGCGACTCTATGTCAATAAAACTTTATTGATTAAAAACAGGGAGTGGAGGGTTGGGTATGGTGGTGGTGCATGCCTTTAATCCCAGCACTTGGGAGGCAGAGGCTAGCAAGTCTCTATGGATCGAGGCCTGCCTGGTCCACATATCAAGTTCCAGGCCAGCTGAGGGTATAAGGAGACCGTTTCAAAGAGACAAAAATGAAAACAGGAAAAGAAAATAACAGGGAGTGGGCCAGGTGTGCCCCAAGGGCCAGAGTTTTCCAACCTCTGGTCTCTCGAAAGATCTCTGTACTAAGTATGAGGAGAACACTGGGTATGGTGGCTTATGCTCATGATCCCAGCACTTAGGAGTCTAGGTAAAAGGACTGCAGTGAGTTCCAGGCCAGTCTGAGCTACAGTATGAGTGAGACCCAGTCAAAAACAATAAGAAAAAAGAAAAGAA